CTCTGCCAGCCTGGGTAATTCTCAGAGAAGCTTTATACTTAGGTGCTTTATATGATTCACGCTCAGGATTCATGTTTGTTAAAAAAAAAAAAAAGTCATGAACAATGAGCAGTCTGTGTTCCACATGCTGCATTGTATTTAACTGTTGCTAGATGGAGTAAAAACTAAATTATTAAGACAAGACTCAAACTTCCATTTGTATCATACAGTGTACTTTTTTTGTATCTTCTTTTCTTAGCACCATAAGTAGCCTCTCTAATTTTGAAATACAATATTGTTTCAGAAGAAAACAGACCTATTGTATGTTGTTTTTGTTTGTTTTATCTCCTAAAATGTGGGAATAAGTTTATATTACATTTACTGTAGTTTTTTTTCAACCTTTTTTTAAGCCCCATGCCCCTGGTACCGGGGGACTATGTTCAATCTGAATTTACATTAAAATAAAAAAATTCTATATTGATTCTGACTTTTCTACATCCAACTCACAGGTTTATCATTGCTTTGAGAAAAAAGATTATTAATTTACCCCTTTTAGAAGTGAAGATAATAGTCAATTGTTCTGGGAATGTCATTTTCGAGCCTGAGGCCTGAAAAACAGGCTCGGGACTTAACTGGGTGCTTGATCCTCAGAAACAAAGTGGCAGCCCAACAACATTTTAACCACGGAGAATATAGCTTTGGTTCACAAGGGGGGGATTACATTACATTGCATTTAGCTGACGCTTTTATTCAAAGCGACTTACATTCGACCAGGAAGATACAACCTAGAAGAAAACAGAATCATATAAGTACATCAGGTTTCATAGAGCCAAACATTTCAAGTGCTACTCAACTGGCTATAGATAAGCCAGTCCTTTATTAGTATATAAGTGCTCCGTTAGCAGTTATTTTTTAGTAATTCTATTGCTCGAAGTGGAGTCGAAAGAGATGAGTTTTCAGTCTGCGCCGGAAGATGTGCAAGCTATCTGTCAGGATGTATGTTTCGGTTTTTATCCTTCTTGTTTTGTCTTGGTACTACATGCACAGCCACACACACAACAAACTAAGACACAAAAATAAAAAATGATATCCTGCCTCGTGCTCTGCTCCAAAAATACAATGACCGGGTAATCACTGTCTCATTCATTCAGCAGATTAAGTTTGCTGCTGAACAATAATAACATCCTGTTTGGTTCATGTTTACAGCCTAAAGATAAAGCTGTATCCTCCTGGATGTAAGACTCATCTGTCTATCCCAAAACGTCCCTGTATTGTTCCATTGGAGCAGAATGATGGATCTAAAAAAAGACACACTCTGCATTTCCCAAATGTCAAATGCACAGCCAGAGATTTACAAAGGGCTGAATGAGAAGATACATGTCAAACTCGTATGTACGTGGCATTTGTATTTTAAGTGTTCAATCAAATGTTTAAAAAAAGCTCAGTCATTTACATACAAATGCATAAACAACAACAAGGTAAACCATACTGGTAACAAAAAGCTTCTTGCACTGACTGTATCCTCATGTAACATAAATGCACTCCAAACACACTCTAAAATCATGTTCAATGGACCAGACTGTGGCTTTACATCTGCAGCACTACATGGATATAAGCATAATGACTTAAGACATAATTGTAGGTTGTCTACTCACCCTCCTGTGTGTTGTTAAGCTTGCTGTCAGTATATTCCGTCGCCGTGGACAGGCACCAGACGTGGAGAGCGAAGAGCACAAAGGCAAAGTTCTTCCGCCGCCTCCAGGTTCTCATGATGCCCGGGCTCAGTGAGGTGAAACCGGGTGAAAGCGCTCCGGTCACACCGCGTTATAAAAGCAGCACGACCAACACTTCAAACAGGTGACAGGTAGCTGCCAATGTAGTTCACTGTGGTGTGGCGGGGGCTAAACCTCCAGGAAGGTGTGGTAGTCTGTCACTCCAGGAAAGAAGCTGTCAAAAACTTTTCATTCCTACACCCACGTTTAAAGTGCAACAACCGGTGGGGAAAACGTACAAATACATGTGTTATCCCAATGTTGCTCATGTGGTAGAGGTATGGCAAGGAGCGAGAGAGGAGGCAGAATGAGAGGCTGTTGGAGCGGAGTGGAGCGGACTCGCCATCCCCTCCAGGACCGGAGCAGCCACTCTGCCATGTGCGCTTCAGGCTCCGCTGGGTCCTAGAGCCGGACCAACCAAACAACTGAATGTAAACTATTTAGCCTAAAAAATCACCAACTTTGCGCTAGCTAATTGTTTTTTTTATATATAAAACACAGACTAAGGTACACCAAGGAGCTTTAGGTATGTTCTTATCTAATTTTGTAAAATATTAGATGTTGACGTAACGTACAATATTTTGAGAGTACCTCAAGTTAGCTAGTTAGCATTAGCTGACAGCGTAGTCACGGCAATTCGTCCTTCACAAAGTGTAGACATAAACGTCAGTTTGATTAAAAAATACCTTTAGAGATGCAACCCGCTGCTTGGCAGCAAGTAAACAATGATGTGTAAAAAGCTAGAAACTCTAGTTAGCTAACTTATAGTTGTTTGCAGCCTGAAGTTTGTGAAGCGAACAGAGAACGGTTGTAGTGCATGCGTTTAGCGGTTGCCTTTGGCGGTGGCTAGCTAAATACTTCAAGTTAAAACTTTATTGAAAAGCAGTGCATTAACATGAGAAACAAAAGACGTAGACCTACAGGAAAAAGATATCAAATGCACAAATGGAAGAGAAAACAAAAATCGAACTTATTGACATCATTAAATACATTTGAACAATTAAACATTCATTTATAAATTATTTACAACATTACATACGTTAAAAATCCCTACCATGAAAATATAAATATATAAATATAAAATATATATATATATATACATATAAATATATATATAATTATTTATGTTTAGTAGAACATTCAAGTTTGTGTGATCCAGGAAGCTATGTTAGGAACATATTTAGAAACTATGAGACACAATCATTTCCTTTCAGAAGCAGTTTTTTTAAATCAAATTTTACTCATGAACATATTTTGTCAATGTTGTTTTTCTTCTTCTTCTTTTTGTACCTCAGAACTAAACTTTAAAACTAAAGATGCTCTATAACAAGGAAGGAAGGACATTTCCAAAAACATAGCACTTCCCCATGTGATCACCTACTTTGACTATGCTTCTTCTTGGTATGTACTTTTCTGAACAAGGTAGTGTGCTGGACTTCAAATCAGGGGATAGGACGTTTGAGTCCCACTGCAGCATGTCGTTGTGTCCCTGGGCAAGACACTTCACCCCAAATTGCTCCTGTGGGGATTTTCCACAGTACTAAATGTATGTAAGTCGCTTTGGATAAAAGCGTCTAACAAATGACATGTAATGTAATGAACATCATGATGAGTTGTGCATAATAAAATATATGTATGTACGCTGATGGTATTACAAGTTGACATTTCAAAAATTGGTAAGCTTCTAACCTGTTGAACCCTCAGTTCCCAATTTAGTTCATTTCTAAAATGCCTGTACGTGCGTTTCTTTTGGTTGAGGTTCGTTATCTTGAGATATAATAAAGACCTTCATGATTCAATGTCAGTGTGAGAATATTGTATGTGAAAAATATTCAGTCCATCAAAATAGGAAGTTGTCCTTCACTTTAAAATACCCCTAGGATGAGGATGGCACATCCTTCAATCTATGTGTCCAAATGACATACAAAAACACACACACACACACACACACACACACACACACACACACACACACACACACACACACACACACACACACACACACACACACACACACACACACACACACGGCCCCATCCGTGTTTTGCACAGGCTACCTTGTCTGGTTTAGAGTAATCTTTTTCATTGTGAATGCTGCAGGCAAAGAAAGTCACATCATGTCTACGTGCAGTGCACATATCAGTCCACTCTACATCTCCACTGAGGTCACAAACTGCAAAGAAAATTATAAAAAAGATTTGATATGCCAGAGCTGACTTTAAGTTATTTGCCAGAGTCTGGTGTCCATCCTAACTTTCTCTTTGAAAAGGATTTATTAAATATGTTCCCCTCTGCTTTCTGTTGTAACTTTTGAGTTGATTCTGTTTTGGATGACACCTCCATCTCCTCCTCCCTCTTGCTCACCATTTTCTTTAGTGATAAGACAACTTTCAAGGCACATTTATCTTAGATGTTAAAGATTAAAATAAATATAACACAGAGACACTGCTGGAAACGATGGCAATGACGCCAAACTAACCCTAACCCTATCCCAGAAAATATGGGTGCCAATGAAATGACTAATGGCAAACCACTCTTTGTCAGTGTTTCTGCTTCACTGTACACAATTAGCCCTATACATCTCATCTAGTGTATCCTTTCTAAGACAGACATATCAGCTGTTTCTTCAGGGCATGCAAGTCAGTCAAGGCTAAGCAAAGGGCCTCAGAGTACACAGTCCACATTATGCGGAGATAGCAATGTGACATGCAGACACATGATGCCTCAGAGAGCGGGAGGCAGACTGACAGGAGCCCTTCTCCTCGTATACAGCTGCCTGTCAGTCTCTGCTCATCGTCCGGAACCAGCCCACATGACAGCAGAGCACTTCTCCCATGTGGATTACTATTTTAAATTGTCTTGCTGGTAATGCAGCCATCAGTCATGTCAGTGGAAACTGACTTTACTGATGGATTGATACTGTTTAATACATAACGTTCCTTCCTTGCTATGGGCCCAAATCGATCCATCTGTTAAAAACTGCAATTACATTACACACTTGTATAATGTACACAGCATCCTTTGTTTATATTTTGTCAGTAGCAAGTTAATTGTGTTTTTCTAACTTATTATTGCTATTATAATAGTCTTTAGATACTGTATATCTTACTACTTCTGATATATTTGTACTAACTGTTTTTCAATGTGTTGTTTTCATAGTAGAAGAGATTGAACTAAAGTAGCTAAAAGTAAAGTATGACATTAAACCTTGCATTTTGTTTGGTTTTTAAACACGGTCAGTATTTACTCTTAAGAAGTCAACTTCAGATACAGCATGCATTAATACAGCGCGGTGGTCTAAGACCTGCGGCACATGTCCTTCCCCTGTTCCCTCCTCAGCCCAGCAGGCTCAGTTCCACAGAGATGTCAGTCACCTTTACGGGCTATATGCGGACTGCAGTCACAGGCTGTGCTCAGTAATCGCCTCTCTTATTACAATGTCATCTCTGGTTTGGAGCTCTATGACAAAAGCTCCCTTTCACCAGCGTTGCGAGTCTCCTGAGTTCGATTAGCTTGGAATTCCAGTGTTCCGGATGGGAGGATCCACAGGCCTCGAGGCAGACGTGAAGCCAATGACGCAACATGGTTGACCCCTCTCCAACTGTACACACCCAGAGCACCGTACCAATGATAGTCAAGGTGCTGGGCTCCAAGCAGAATCTTAATTTCCTGGAAAATAACACTATGCCTACACAGAATGTCCTTGGAAAGCTGTTATTTCATTCTTGAGATACATTAGAGAAACATGATATCGTAGATAAGGAATACAAACAGTAGAAAGGGTATGAGCCAAGATTAGCCTCTATTGCTTTTAATCATTGGGTATTCATTTAAACAGTAAAGAAAGGTATAATTGCATTTTTTCAACGTATAAAACTGTAAACCTCATTCTCATTTGTGTGTGTGTTGGTGTCAGAAGTTTAGGTTTTGTCAATGTCTGCACACAACAACAATTGTTATTTATATTGAACATCATATACAATTTTTATATACAGAATACCATACAGTTTAATATGGGTAAGAAAATGCTTATTTGTCTTTGCCATTGTGGCATAGATTGAATTGTATCTTCTCTGGAACATATCAAATAAGATTACAAAGTTGGAAAATAATGAAAAATTACTCAAAATGTGTGTTTTTGTCACCGTCATAACTTCATCATCTTGTTCTGCAAAATCCAATTTGTGTTTCGGATTTTGTATTCATTCTAACTGTTAAGCAGTCAGGATAGAATAAGTAAAGATTGAACATGATATTTCATATAAATCAAGCCTAAATCAAATGAATATATGCCAAGGCATGGAAATGATTTGCATAGAAGATTGACTGAATTAAATATATTCCTATTGAATTTACATCAGAGCCAGGATGGTCAGTGAATTAACACAGTTTCACCTCCTGGTTTCTCTAATTTATCTTTGCAGTATCTGGTCCAGAAGTCTCTGCAAAAAAATAGAAAAACAATGTAATCAATAACTTTCAAAAATGTATCTGCTTTCAGATCTGCCTTCCCCTAGTCTCTTAAGAGCAGCTCTGCATCAAACAGGAAAGACTCCCGCTGCTAAATTGGCTTTCCTCTCCCTAAGCCTCACCCTCAGGAAGGATGGAATCATTCTAGTTTGCTATCGGTCCAAATACACTGCTATTCATTCGCCCTCCTCTCACAGCACAACCCAAAAGTAGGAATCTCATTTCAGCCAGCGTTTAAAACCACCCACCCTATACCTCTCACTATCAGACCTCTGTGTGACTCTACTCTGGGCTCAACCTGTCTCCCTGCTGCAGACTTTCTGACAAGAATGACGCCTGTGTAGCACACACACGACTTGGCGTTTATCGTGGTGGAACACACTTCTTTTTTCTCCCCCAATCTCACTGCGGGTGTGCCCGGCTAATAGCTTCATTTGAGAGGTGGCAAGGTCACGCTGGCATCGTTACAGTCGGCTCCATTTCCTTGAGAAATACAAAATGTTCTCTCACAGAGCCATTTGACGTCACACTGTGCCCTATAATTGCTGGTTGTGTCAGTAAACCACAGAGTTGATTTACTGTCGTACAGTGTTTAAAATGAGTGTTGTTGGAAGTCCCGAGGCAAAACGGTTCCCAGTTTATGTAAGGGTTGGCAAAACGAGAGAGAAGACAATCATTTTGAGATTACCCTGAAAAACATATTGGTAAAAAACACACACACACCCACTTTCTCTCTCTCAAGCCTGAAGCTGCCATGATAGTGTAATTATCTGTAAAAGATTGGAGACATCTCTTCACACTTTTACCATCTCACCTGACTGACAGCAAATGTATTGTTTGGGTAAGGGTATTATGGGAGATGAGTGATGGCTCACCCACATGTGAAGCTGAAGAATTGATTTGTCTGACGCTTCATGTCCTAAATATATCAGTCATTTGCCACATGCCCCTCATTGTGAGGACATGGATTCTGCCTCTTACAGTTAAGCAAGTCCTAGGCATTACGTCAGCAGGGTCTAAAATCCGTTACATTTAATTAAGTTATGTGTTTTTACTGTACAGTGAAAGCCAAGACCACAGCGTAGCATAATGACTGAATTGGGTTTAGTTGTGATGAAGTAAGGGTTTCAATTTGGCATGAATTATTAGGAGGTTCTCTAGTGTTTTCTAATCTGATTTTGAAGAAAACACTAGTCCTGAAAAGTCAGAAATAACTGCATGTTATATATAAGGAAAAGTAATGGACATAAATGTTAAATGTGCATTTTGTAATGTTTAATTTGTAGTTTGACCAATGACCATGGATCTGACTTTTGCAGTCAAACAGTGCCCTCTGCTGGATGATTTTCAAACTATGAGTCATTTTATTCAGTTTATTACAACTCAAAAACTAAATAACTATGAAACCTTTGTTCAAACCAACATAAAGCCTAATACTGATTTTTGTTATATTTAGGTGTGATAATGTTGATAAATGTAGCTTTTAAATCTAGTTTGAAATTATGTTATTTTGTATTTTAATATTTTACTTCATGTCTTGTCTGTCCCGTATTTCAAGATATTGTAAGAAATAAGTGCTCTTCTTTATATGTTGGATTGATGTGTTTTGTATAAATATCAAATCAGAAACATATGACACACTAGGTACGTTAAGATATTGTTGCATTCAAATATACTGTGCAGACTTCTACTTTGAACATTTCTTATCCCTACCCACATTAATAAGATGTCTATGTAGTGCACATTCTGGGTTACTGAGTGTGACTTGAATACAGTGAAAAACATTTACAGCTCCATAGAAAATCTCCTCATCAACACTATTTCATAAAAAAAGATCATTCAACTTGAAAATGAGACTCTGCTCCATATCTTCAGAAACACATTTTAAGCAAGTGTTACAGTGTCAGTTTTGGGGATTTAAGGTAATTTTGATGCAGTACTGTTTATGTTTTCTATTTCTCTGAATGAGAATTGTAGAATCGGACACATTTTATGTTTTGGGTTGATTTTGTAACACATTTAAACCCCAACTCTACCTTTTTAAAGATGTCTGCTCGCAATCTGTTGCTTTGTGATATGGTCCTCTTCTTCTCCTCCTCTTTTTTCTTTGTCACCTCTGGTAGCTTTTTGTAAATTCTACAGACACACAAAAAGGTAAATTCATACAGGACAGGGGAATATGCTATCAGAAGTCTGAGGGTGGTTGAGCTATGCCAACAGATTGGCTACAGACAAAGTATTATCTAGTGAGACCACAGCCGGCACAAACCTGGATCCACTGATAAACAGGTCTCACACAGACTCCTTTTTCACTCCCACAACTCCAGCCAATTTGTTAGGAGATCCTCCAAGTCAGATAGTGTCTCTTTAAAAAAAAATTACAATGGGCAGCCATCATCTGATCAGGTGTGCCTTTCCAGATAAGGCCAGAAAAAAGGGGGAAAGAGATAAGGTATACTGAGGGTAGTTCATATCTCCTGTCAAGACATTTGGGCATCAAACATCTATTGTTTCCATAATACAGAGTGAGGGTGTGTTAGTGTGCGCTGTGTTTGCGCATGGCAGATATGACAAACAAGCTTTGGAAGGATTGTGCTAAATAAAGAAAACAAAGAGAGACGGAGTGACATCGTCTGACGTGGGTTTAGTCTGGAGAACTCACCGTCTGGACCTCAGCTGCATCTCCCTGCCTGATATAGACCTCTCTCTAGGCTTGAAAAGGTTATCTAGGACAAGCACACACACACAAGCACACGCACGCACGCACGCACGCACACAAGCACACACATACACACACACACACACACACACACACACACACACAACTGTGTGCTTGTGTGCGTGCGTGCGTGCGTGCGTGTGCTTGTGTGTGTGTGCTTGTCCTAGNATTCAGACAAAGGCATTTAAAATTAGTCATTAAAAAGAAAAGATAATAAAATAAACATTAAAAGAAAAAATACATGGATAAAAGTTACAGTGCAGTTTAAGATATGAATAGTTCAATTAAAAGCAGCGACAAAAAGAAAAGTCTTCAGCCTGGATTTAAAAGTAGTCAGAGTTGCAGCGGACCTGCAGGTTCCAGATATTTGGAGCATAATAACTGAACGCTGCTTCTCCATGTTTAGTTCTGACTCTGGGGACAGAAAGCTGACCAGTCCCTGAAGACCTGAGAGATCTGGATGGTTCATCATTTAGCAGGAGGTCAGAAATGTATTTTGGGCCTAAACCATTCAGTGCTTTATAAACCAGCAGCAGTATTGTGAAATCTATTCTTTGACACACAGGAAGCCAGTGTAAAGACTTCAGAACTGGAGTGATGTGATCCACTTTCTTAGTGTCAGTGAGGACTCGAGCAGCGGCGTTCTGAATCAGCCGCAGCTTTCTAATAGATGCATGGTTGGCACACATTACACCGCCTAAAAGTATGTTGTAGATCTTCTGACCTTCTGAATGTCCCAACTGCCCTTTTCAACACTGATGCCATTTCTTTAGATTGATTACATCTCATTGTGGTGTGGGCATTGTTTCAGCTGCAGAGTTGTTCGTGATATAAACGGCAAGCGACATGAGATGAGGCGTTCAGTGCATCTGCAGCCAGAGGGTCGTGATACAAATCTGTGTCAGAGATAACCGCATAGCATTGTTTGACAGTGAAACCACGCATCTGCACCCTTTCTGTTCAGAAATGTCACTAAACGGAAACCACCCACAGATAAACAAGCAGTGTCCTAGCGTTTCCTCTCCTGCTTCCTGTGAAGCATGTGGCTTTTTGCACTGAGACGAGAGAGCTGCAGTCAATTTCCAGGGATGTGAAGTTACTGTGAATTTGTGTGACATATATAACACTTCATGGAAATCCACCACGCTGAAATGACATGTGGCAAACCGTGGTCTTTGAGAATTGATCAAAAACATTGTTAAAACGTTTTTATTGCTATTTTTGTATTGAAGAATGTCATGCAGTAAATTACAATTGTTTCATATTGAGATACTTAACGGGTACAATATGATGTCATTTACATCTGGAAGAGAAAACGAGATGATTAGCAGGAATAGTAAAATGCATATGTGGTTTCGCTGTCCGCTTCCACCATACTGTGAAAGCAATGGTCACTAAGGGAGGAGTTGACTTTAAAGTAGTCGAATACGCTAATGTTTAACGGCAGTTGCCTCAGCGGACCAGAATGCAATAAAACCTCAAAACACTTGAAATGGAGAGACCTTTCAGCACCACTTGTTTAATGTTACAAGTTTCCATGTGTCGCCTTGAAGTTCTTGAAAGTCCCTCTTGGAAACAGAGTAATGGTTAAGGGAAGAAGAATAAAGGGAGAAGTGACAATGGTCACACCAAAAGAGAGAATTGGAAAGACTAACAATATTTCCTGGAATACTACAACTTGATACTACAACTTATTTATATTTAAAAGGCCTCCAAAGGGTAGATTTTTTTGTTTTTAGATAAAAGTGACAATTAGCAGTAAGTGTGTGTGAGACCTTTTTGACGTTTGCTTTAATCGCTGGTGTTCATTTCTCTTCTCTCACACACTTGGCACAAGCGATTGGATAAATGACCCCAAAAACCCAAAGTGCAGTCAAAACCTATTTTTCAACTGAAGCCTTGAACAAGTCTTGCGCAAGAGGTTGTCACAGCATGCCATGTACCCACATATCTGGCTTTTCAAGACACGTTTCCATTCTGATTTGATTTGTCTTCCCAATAATTGCAACAATTACACAGCTTTAGTTATTCCCTGTCCACCCACTCAGGTCATGGCTGATTTGCAGAAGGATTGTCCTGTAGGAAATGACAGTGATGTTGCTCTACGTCTCCAGACAGAGCTGGTGGATCTTGGATAGACGTGATTCTGGTAAGACTCCCTGAGAGAGGAGCAAAGGGCCAGGAAACACTCGCTCATACACTCGTCATTTGTCTATTGTGTGTGTGTGTGTGTGTGTGTGTGTGTGTGTGTGTGTGTGTGTGTGTGTGTGTGTGTGTGTGTGTGTGTGTGTGTGGTAGGTACACAGATCTAATTTCTGAGAACAACAGTGGTCATTAATCTCTGGCAGCGCTCCCACCTCAGTACTCTGTGGTGTGTGTGTGTGTGTGTGTGTGTGTGTGTGTGTGTGTGTGTGTGTGGTACAGATCTAATTTCTGAGAACAACAGTGGTCATTAATCTCTTTTGAGGATGTCACACTGACTTCAATAGATGTATATTATAAATTCAATGGTGGACAGTAACTAAGTATATTACTAAAGTCCTGTACTTAAATATAATTTTGCAGTACTTGATTACTAACATTGTCTGCCGCTTCATACTACATCTTACTCCACTTGTTTTTATTTTTAAATTGTACTTACTAATTACTTTTCGTAACATGGTTTATATATATGTATATATTTGTATATACTGTATATATATTTCTAATCTAATCTCTAGTACACAAAGTATCCAAACTTTACTCCACATTGACAAATAGTTAGAATAATAGAAACACCTCTATATGTATTCCTTAGTTATAAAAACTAAATATTACTACATTTTCTAAAAATACAACACGTAAAATACTTTTGCTTTTAATACTTTAAGTATATTTAGCGGATAATACGTCTATACTTCCTGAACATTTTCAACTCAGGACTTTTACTGGTAATGGAGAATTCTATCTTAGACCATGGTATTACTACTTTTACTTAAGTAAAGGATTTGAATACTTCATCCACCTTTTGATTATATCTGTGTTACTCCACACACACACACACACACACAAACACACACACGCACACGCACACACACACGCACGCACGCACACGCACACGCACACGCACACGCACACTCAATGAACNGTCCAGCTGGGAAGAGACCAAGGGGTAGACCTAGAACCAGGTGGAGGGATTATATCTCTTCGCTGGCCTGGGAGCGCCTTGGGATCCCCCAGTCAGAGCTGGTTGATGTGGCCAGGGAAAATAAAGTTTGGGGCTCTCTGCTGGAACTGCTACCTCCGCGACCCGACCACGGATAAGCGGGAAAAGATGGATGGATGGATGGACATCTCAATATACGTCGATACAACATTGCGTGTTGATAGAAATCAACACGTAGGCCTAATGAAATAAGACCCCACGGTTTGATGATTGATAGGTGTGTGGGCTGTCTTTCATTTTGACTCACAGAACAATGTTATAATAAACATACATACTGTATGTTAAATGGATATATCCGCCTTCTTTCATTTATCTTTCCATTCCCACAACAATATACATAAAGAAATGGCATATTTTGGACATAGTTCGAATGGTGATTAATCATGATCAATACATTTTTAAGCTGTGATTAATCTGATTAAAAATGTTAATCGTTTGACAGCCCTAATTATTACTTATCATTTTCCAGGGTGTTCATTTACTTTAGTGCAGTTCAAATGTTGATGATTAGTTTCCAAGCTACGAGTCAATCTGCAACAGGAAAATGTTCACCACAAAGAAAGGCCTCTCCTTGAGGATAAAGGACTATCAGGTGGTGCTCAGAGCAGATTATCCTTCCCTGAGCAGTTCACCTCACTAACTAAAGTGTTCAGATGTCTGATTCTATATTGGTACCAGAGATCTACTGCATTCCAGATTAGGATATTCTTCATCATGCGTGAATAAGTGCAGGTGAGGCAGGGATGTTCCTGCTCACTATTACTCTCCTCAGCATACATGGATCTCATTATCCCATGATCCTCTTGGTGTGAAAAACCAATAACCACTTCCTGTGTCTGCATTTGGAAGTGTCCTAAACTAAACTCTGAACACTCAAAATACAGAAGCCTTTTGTTAACTCTAATGAGCCATAACGTCAGCGGATCAATTCAACCAGAATGTTTTATTTTGAACGCTGCCCAGCTGTTTATGTGCAGCAAACAGCCACATTGGATCCAAAAACAAGAAGGACTTCGACCATTCAATGTCTATCGACTCATGTCCAAAATCCCTGTGTTCCCTCCATAGGGAGTTTCTCTCCCAATGATTCCCCCCCTCCTGAAATGCCTCCATCACAATCCTTTGTCATAGTGACATCACTGTGTGACACTGGCGCTTCTATTGGCTTGTGTTCCAACACATTGTACGTGATAGGCTAAGGGGCGGGACATCTGTAAGCAGTTGACCAATCATAACAGAGCCGGCCAGCTAACCAATAAGAGCAGACTGGGCTCTGGTTTCAGACAGAGGGTGAACAGAGATGCTGCAGCACAGGCAGTAGGAGAAAAATAGAGAGCTTTTTGAACATGAGAGCATGCTTTAGTGGCAGCAAAAGGCATCTGTAGGTTCACACAGGAACAGAATGCAGAGTGCAGACTGATACATGTTGATAGGGATGCTGGGGCAGTTCATATATTCATATTTACAGTTAATATATTATTAACTGAAGTCCACAGCGTAGATCAGGGAGCAGCTCAGTGTCTCTATCAGTGCTGTCATCCATAATGCATTCTGATTCACCACTTTTGCATGCTGTGCTGATTGCAAGGTGTGTCCTGTCAGACCCAGTCCACACTTTGACAAGCTGTCAATGTCAATGGAGTGGAAGGCTGTACCTGTCTGTCACTGTGTGTGTGTGTGTGTGTGTGTGTGTGTGTGTGTGTGTGTGTGTGTGTGTGTGTGTGTGTGTGTGTGTGTGTGTGTGTGTGTGTGTGTGTGTGCGTGCCGGTCTGTAAGATTCAGAGAGACAGACTGAGCCAGAGA